ATGTTCTTGAATGTAGCTCACAAAGTGATCTGATGTTGTACAGAACTCACTGCTGAGTTAAGCATGGTTAGATCATGCAGAGGTAGTACATGTTCTTGAATGTGAGCTACCCTAAAGTGAGCTGATGTTGTACAGATCTCACTGCTGAGTTAAGCATGGTTAGATCATGCAGAGGTAGTACATGTTCTTGAATGTGAGCTACCCTAAAGTGATTTGATGTTGTACAGAACTCACTGCTGAGTTAAGCATGGTTAGATCATGCAGAGGTAGTACATGTTCTTGAATGTGAGCTACCCTAAAGTGATCTGATGTTGTACAGAACTCACTGCTGAGTCAAGCATGGCTAGATCATGCAGAGGTAGTACATGTTCTTGAATGTGAGCTATCTTAAAATGCTCTGATGTTATACAGAACTCACTGCTGAGTTAAGCATGGCTAGATCATGCAGAGGTAGTACATGTTCTTGAATGTGAGCTATCTTAAAATGCTCTGATGTTATACAGAACTCACTGCTGAGTTAAGCATGGCTAGATCATGCAGAGGTAGTACACGTTCTTGAATGTGAGCTATCTTAAAATGCTCTGATGTTATACAGAACTCACTGCTGAGTTAAGCATGGCTAGATCATGCAGAGGTAGTACATGTTCTTGAATGTGAGCTATCTTAAAATGCTCTGATGTTATACAGAACTCACTGCTGAGTTAAGCATGGTTAGATCATGCGGAGGTAGTACATGTAATTGAATGTGAGCTACCCTAAAGTGATCTGATGTTGTACAGAACTCACTGCTGAGTTAAGCATGGTTAGATCATGCAGAGGTAGTACATGTTCTTGAATGTGAGCTACCCTAAAGTGATCTGATGTTGTACAGAACTCACTGCTGAGTTAAGCATTGTTACAGAAGTAGTACATGTTCTTGATCTCAGATTACAGAACTAACTGCTGAGAGAAGGGAAATATGGTTTGATTAAGGCATTATATAAAATACATGTACCAAAGTAAAAAAGTACCAAGCAACCCTTACCTACGATAGTGATATTAAAAGTGATAGTAACAGAGCCCATAGAATTTCCCAGGAGACATTTATAGATGCCAGCATCTTCATACTGTACAGGTCCTAAACGGAAGCGACCGCTGGACACGTCCACATTTTTCTCATCTTTAAACCAGCTCTTACGATTCGGATAGATATAAAGCGTTCCAGAACGTCCAAAACATGGAAAATAGTAGGTAGCCCGAAGCCTCAGTTGATGCTCAATGTAGGTTTGTCGAACAGACGGTGCAACTTTAGAGATGGCTAAAAACACAAAAAATTAATGAAAATTACTTTATAATAATTTTGTTTGTGGAAACACCACGTAAATTTATTACTGCAAAGCTTTCGATCATATTATTAGCACTGATGAATATCCGGGCTTACGGATCGTACGGCTTACGGGCTTACGTGGTGTTTCCACAAACACAACTATTATATGTTTTATCGCCATGCAAACGTACATAGAAAACTACTTTATTGACACTAGATAGCTCTACCAGTTCCAAACTGTTCTCCATCCAGTAAGTGTCATCTCTAATTTATCTAGTACTACTACAGGAGGAAACCTAAACTAAACTAACTTCATTTATACTGGATAGCTCTATCCGTTCTAAACTGTTCTCTCTAGAGGTCCAGTAAGGATCATCTCTTATTGATCCAGTGTTACTGCAGGAGGAAACCTAAACTAAACTAACTTTATTTATACTGGATAGCTCTATCAGTTCCAAATTGTTCTCCGTCCAGTAAGTATCATCTCTAATTTATCTAGTATTACTACAGGAGGAAACCTAAACAAAACTAAGATTATTTATACTGGATAGCTCTATCAGTTCCAAATTGTTCTCCGTCCAGTAAGTATCATCTCTAATTTATCTAGTATTACTACAGGAGGAAACCTAAACTAAACTAACTTCATTTATAGTTTATACTGGATAGCTCTATCAGTTCTAAACTGTTCTTCCTAGAGGTCCAGTAAGGATCATCTCTTATTGATCCAGTGTTACTACAGGAGGAAACCTAAACTAAACTAACTTCATTTATACTGGATAGCTCTATCAGTTCTAAACTGTTTTCTCTAGAAATCCAGTACGTGTCATCTCTTATTGATCCAGTATTAATGCAAGAGGAAACGTACACCTTATTTATGCAGGACAGCTCTGATTGCTCCAGTGTCACCACGGGAGCAAACCGGAGCACTAGGGGAAACCTTGGGGTGTTTGATCACAATAGAATCGGTCTATACTGGCTGCCGCCCGCCTCCCCTCCCCACCAATACCCCACAGGCTCATACCTTGGCAGTTAACTCCATCGCCGTAATAATTGGGGGGGCAATGTTTACAATACGAACGCCCTTTCGGAACGACTTTGCCATCACCATTAGCGCATGAAACCGAAGGGTAACTGAAACAAACTCCGCTGGCACATGGGATTGTATTCTCTTTACGGCAGACTCGCTTGTCCAGCGGTTTGTTAGAACATGCTATGAAAGGCCTTGCGCAATAGTATGCTGAATGCAGATTACAGTCTGTCAAATATTTCTCATAGCCGTTACAAGATACTTGAAATATTGGAACACGGGCGAAAGCTAGAAAATATCAGACAATTAGTGAACAGTTAACGGGAGGGTATTCTGACGAGGCATAAATGGTTAACAGGGACAACCTTCGTGGAACACATAGGGGTAAAGCTGGTGGCATTAAAAAATAAACCCTTCCGCAAAGCCTCGTTTCCGTGACCGAGAGCCCTTTATCTTGGTTCTGATGACGTAATTATAAACAAGTCTTTTATATTCACTGATATAACTTTATGATTTCGCAAATGTGTCACCTGTAACAAGGTAAAAGCCTCTAAATAAAAGCCACGAGCACTTTCTGGAAGGGTGTATTGAATGCGTCTCAACTTACAGTAAAGGCGGTTATATCGTACAAGACTACCACTTTGAAAGCCCAGCTCTTGACAAACCAGAGTAGTGATAACTTGATTTGTATTACATATTATTCCCCATTTGTAATTATTCTGACTCTTTGTCCTCATTTGAATGAATCCTTCTCGATCGTTGGAACCGTTCACTAAACGTATATTTCCAGAGGGTGTTTCTCCGCCCATAAGGTCTTCCAGGGTATGGTCAGGGTAACATGTTTCCACGCATGTAGAGCCGCCTAAAAAGTTGAAGATAAAGTTATGAAGGAAGATTTAAGAGTTTTTTTTATGTTACGTAACACGCGCTCAAAACTAATGCGTATAATATATCACTTGAGGTTATGACTAAATTCAAAATTTTTATTTTTCGAAACGTTTCTCAATCGGCAAACAAACTTAAAAAGTATATTTAGTGCTTTATCTGTAAAATAATGCTAAAACGAAGAGATTTTAGATGGTACGCCAAAGAGAAAATGATGTCTGAAGTTCAGTACGTTTTGCTTAGAGTATATGGCTGCAAATATGGCGTCAATTTTAAAGCATCATTCATAATTGTATTTTAATTGACAATTTTTAACTATTATTTTATGTTTCTCAACCGGCAGACGCATTTAAAAAGGTAGCTAACTGTATAAACTAGAGAATAAAGCTAAAACAAAGCAATTTTGAGAGGAACGCCAAAAGGATTTTAGGTTTTGAACACTTTTCATTGCAAATACGTGACATTGAAAAAAATTGCCTCTTAACAATGCAGCAATTATACACTCATTGAGATCAACAGCAAAAATTTGCTTGTCATGAAAGACACTCAATAGGGCCATTTATACGGGACAAAATAAGTCGCGACTTACATAAGTCTTATATAAGCGGAGTTATCGGCATAAATGGTTCTCTACGGCTTTATTCTTCTTTACTCGCTATAGCTGTAATGTTGTTTCGGTTGTTTTTGTTTTAATATGCAAGGCTAATAATTTTACGTTGTTTCAAGTTTCGGGCATGTGTAGTTAGAATTTTTGTCTAAAATTTCTTATTTAAGACGCGACTTAAATAAGAACAGCTAAAAGTCCTGTTCTTATGTAAGACGCGTCTTATCCAAGACGCGTCTTACATAAGAATTCTGTACCTTTTATACGACAAACTCGCGTCTTATTTAAGTCGCGTCTTATGTAAGTCGCGTCTTATTTTGTCCCGTATAAATGGCCCTATTATTCCACTCACTGAGAAGCAGTTGGTTTCAAGTGATCTTTCAGATGTCATACATGAGCTCAATTTAAAGACAAGTACAAAAAAGGATGTATTCTTTCGTCCTTTAATTCCAGCCTTCCACCATTCCCCCTCCTCCCTCCTTTTTTCTTTAGACCTTTCCTTCATTCTTTCCTCTTTTCCCTCCGACCTTTCACCCCACCAACCTGTCCCTTCCCCTCTTGCTTCCCTCCTCTTTCCTCTACCCCTTCCTTCTCCTTTTCCTCCCCCTCCCTCTTTCCCCCTATTTCTTTCTCCCTTCCTCCCAGCATCCTCCTCCCCCTTTCCCCCGCGGAAGAAGTTATTTCGCTGACCTCAGAATGACATTTCGTCAAAAATATTATCTTCAAGATTGGTTTAGAAACAAACTTGGAGCAGGGTTAGGTTAGGGTTAGGATTACGGTTTGGAATTAGGACTGTTCGGTATACCGATATACCGAAAATATCGGTATTAAATCAGTATCGGTATATCGATACCGGATATTCAACCATACCGATATACCGAAATTTCGGATATACCGGAATTTTTCGGTATACCGTGTTAAATTTACCAACTATATGGCGAAATCATAACCTTTATTTTACTACTGAATGGCAATTCAAATAACTTTCTACTGCAATGATTTAGAATTTCCACTTCAGTAAGAGTACGTGCATGTCTTTCGAAACATGTTCGAAACAGCTTCGAAATTATCGTTTTCCCTTTTAGAATTACTCAAAATTTCCTTCAAACTTCCATTACAGAATTTCCCTTTATAATTATCAAAGGAAAACCGGTATACCGATAATATCGGTATAATTTTTTCGGTATACCGATACCGGAAATTTCTCATACCGAACATTCCTATTTGGAATAGGATTAGTGTTAGTAAAACCGTTGCTTTGTTACGTTTTGTCACTCTGAGGCCAGCGAAATAACCTCTTCCGTAAAAACCACTTACGTAAGAAATAAGGCTTGTCACAGGAAGAACAACGACCATTACTGAAGCCATCCAGGCACGTCTTGCACATATCACTACAACGCATGCACCTCTTCTTTTGAAGATGAATGAAGTAACCATCTGGACACTTTTCCAAACACTTTGACTCATGCAAGACATATGTATTATTACATGAAGTACATGTACTAGCCGTACCAACGCAAGTGGTACAGTCAAAGCAGGCTCGACACTCTGTCTTGTATTGATAAAACCCGGGTTTACACGATTCATCACATACTTTCTTTGGAGTTGATCTGGTACATACAACACCTCCAATTCTGAAGCTTGGACATGAACCACCGACTATAAATAAAATAGAATAAAATTAAAATTCCAGAAGGGGACGGCCTGAAAACAAACAAAAACATTTTCAAGGCAGGCTATGAGGAGTTTAGCTCCAAGGATGGATTTACGCACTTCGTCAACGATCGCACCCTCAGTCATGACCATACTTCGATGAGCACTCCCGCCTCCCCCCCTACCAGATCTGGTTGGACCTTCCCTACTTAGCTCAAAAGGACGAAATAGCGTTGATTTTCCAAAATATTCTATAAATATTCAATATAAATATAATATAGCATTTGGACCGAAAGTGGTGCATTTTCCTGTGCGTAATACAAATACAAAATTTCGTAGGGCTATATTTTCCGCATTTTACAACATTTCGCAACCAAGTTTTGCAATTTTACTAATTTTGGCATGCTCTTTCTAGCTGTGGTGATGGATTTTTTCTTCTTGTCGAGATCAAAATTTAGTCTATAACTGGAACCATCTATTTAATCCTACAATATCTGAAGTATACGAGTATACATACTTCTAGGACAGTCCTTCAATCTCTGAAGTATACGAGTATACATACTTCTAGGACAGTCCTTCAATCTCTGAAGTATACGAGTATACATACTTCTAGGACAGTCCTTCAATCTCTGAAGTATACGAGTATACATACTTCTAGGACAGTCCTTCAATCTCTGAAGTATACAAGTATACATACTTCTAGGACAGTCCTTCAATCTCTGAAGTATACGAGTATACATACTTCTAGGACAGTCCTTCAATCTCTGAAGTATACGAGTATACATACTTCTAGGACAGTCCTTCAATCTCTGAAGTATACGAGTATACATACTTCTAGGACAGTCCTTCAATCTCTGAAGTATACGAGTATACATACTTCTAGGACAGTCCTTCAATCTCTGAAGTATACGAGTATACATACTTCTAGGACAGTCCTTCAATCTCTGAAGTATACGAGTATACATACTTCTAGGACAGACCTTCAATCTCTGAAGTATACGAGTATACATACTTCTAGGACAGTCCTTCAATCTCTGAAGTATACGAGTATACATACTTCTAGGACAGTCCTTCAATCTCTGAAGTATACGAGTATACATACTTCTAGGACAGTCCTTCAATCTCTGAAGTATACGAGTATACATACTTCTAGGACAGTCCTTCAATATCTGAAGTATACGAGTATACATACTTCTAGGACAGTCCTTCAATCTCTGAAGTATACGAGTATACATACTTCTAGGACAGTCCTTCAATCTCTGAAGTATACGAGTATACATACTTCTAGGACAGTCCTTCAATCTCTGAAGTATACGAGTATACATACTTCTAGGACAGTCCTTCAATCTCTGAAGTATACGAGTATACATACTTCTAGGACAGTCCTTCAATCTCTGAAGTATACCAGTATACATACTTCTAGGACAGTCCTTCAATCTCTGAAGTATACGAGTATACATACTTCTAGGACAGTCCTTCAATCTCTGAAGTATACGAGTATACATACTTCTAGGACAGTCCTTCAATCTCTGAACTATACAAGTATACATACTTCTAGGACAGTCCTTCAATCTCTGAACTATACAAGTATACATACTTCTAGGACAGTCCTTCAATCTCTGAAGTATACAAGTATACATA